GCCAAAAAAAAAAAACTTTTATGAGTCGTGTTTTGAGTTATGATTTCTGTTTATATTTATTCCGAAACCCCCCTGGGAAATGTTTATTTTTTGCCATGAATTCTTATCAAATTAAAAATTCCGTTATTAAAAATGAGGTTTGTATAAGCGAAAGTCAGCAAAACGCTGGCCAAGTATAAACATTAACCCGGATTAATTACGATAATAAACTATCATTTTCACCCAAAACACGAATCCGAACCCGAAGCACCCCAGAGACCCGCCACAAAAGAATCAGCGACCGGAACTGAACCCGGCATATCTCGTGGAGCCCTGTAAAAAAAAAGAAAGTACGTGTGGTATGTGGTACATATGTATAAAAAAGGTGATATAATCGTACAAAAAACTGCGATCAGAATTATAACTATCTCGTTTTTACTGAATGCTAAACCATTAACATGGCTCAAGCTCAAATTGATTATCAGATTATTAAAAACTAAAGAGATTTTTTTTTATAGGCAATCAACTGATTGTAATATCGGGTGGTAAAAATATGAACTTTAAGTCTGTAAAATATTATAACAGGATTTCATTGAAGATTAAGAAGATTACTGATAAATACATTACATTTTAGCGCTAACCCAAAGAAAACGAGCTCAAAATGGCGTTACTCATCTTATTCTTTAAAATTAGAGTAAACCAAGGACGAATTTGGAGACCTTACACACATACATATGTAAATAGCTATTTTTGCTATTCTTTTCTTCTTAAACCTGTAAAGGTGCTGCGGGTTATTCTCTGATATCAGAAGCTCAGCCTTACCCATTAATTCTCGATCTCTGAATGCAATCCTCGCTGATTGCAATTTGTGGTCTACCATAAACCATGTTTGACATTTTCCCAGAGTGAATTATATATGCAGAAAATAAACTCCGAATGGGGTTTATGGTATAAGATCTTTGCGTGCTAAAACTTTAGCAATATGCTGTCACAAGAAGTCACATGTCACACTGTCTTCTTCGCTTCTTCTCGGTCTTCTTCGGCTCGTTACAGTTGAGCGCCCCTGGTGAGCTCAGCATAAACAAAAAAAAACAACAATACTATATAAACATATAGCCAACAACAACAACAACAAAAAACAAGATGGAGACTTTATTTGGCATTGGCGTGGGCGAAAACGAAACGAAAGACTTTTGCGTGACGGCGACAAACGCACACACGCACATGCAGCTGCGGAAGAGCTGAGCAAGCTTTCGTATTTCAATTTATAGCTGTAGTTCTCCGTTTTCTCCCGTTAAATGTGCTCCATCATCACAGTTGTAATACTGTTAAACAGTGTTCACTCACAAATAAAATTGTAATTTTTATGAATTTTATAATGGGAAATAATTAAATTACTATAGTTTAAAGGCAGGAGAGAGAGAAAGAAGAGACAGCATTAAATTAGAATTGAATTTGGCATTTCATATTGAATTTTATTAATAAAACTTAGTTCTTAAACCCAAGATATAATTCGTTTATAGCTTATAATAATGTTAGTTTGGAAAACTTGGTAAATTGTACATTTTGAAATCTCTCTATATCTTAAGTCTTAAGATTTAAACTTTTAAATCATTGATTTCGAACATAGGAAAGACCTCAGCAAATGTATGGTCTCTTGAAACCAATCTTGTTTTTATCCTAAAAGTACAAATGAAAAGCAAATATGACAAGAATTACCAAAACAATGAAAAAAATCTACCAATTTATAATGGTATTTTAAAAATACACTCTATTTAAATATAAATTCTACCATTTCACCTTTATATAATGTATCGAAACACCGTTTTTTGTCACCTTCTACAATGAGTCCTGTTTTTAAGTTTAAGACAGGACCCCTAGTCTTTTATTAAAGCAATAAGTTATAATGTTGACTTGGAACACTTGAGACCTTGTAAATTTATAAAGTTTTAAAAATCTTAAGACTTATGACTATATTTTCTTAAACCATTAATATCGAAAACAAAAAGGACCTTAGTGTATTTATTTGGTTTCGGCACGCGAATTAATCGCATGCAATCAATTTTGTTTTTATCCAAAAAGTAGAAAGGGAATGAAAACATGTAAAAAATTACCTTAATTTAGAAAAGTGTCATATTTTTAATGAAATTTTTAATATACATACATTTAGATATAAAGTTCTACCATTTTACCTATAAAGCATATCTTTCTAAACCTTCACAAGTCGTTCTGCTTTCAACTTTAAACCTTATGATCTAGTCTTTATTAAAATTTAAAAGTTAAGGTAAAAGAAAAAATTAAATTTAAATGTAAAAGTCTTAAAATTGCCATAAAAAACCTAGATTTATGCTTTCCAAGCTCTTAGTGTAGCGTCACCCATGGAGGTCACCTACGCACTGAAATTCCATATCTCTCCCTGAGTGTTGCATTTTACACGCAATTCCGTTGCAGATTTTTTCCCCTTTGGCAATTCATGTGCATTGTTTATATATGTACATATGGACATACCTTATAAATATAAATGTGTACATATATTTTTGCATTTGGGGTCGCGGTCGCGTGTCGCCTCGGAGTTGTGTGCCACTTAAGTGCATATATTCTTTTTGTTTTGTTTTCGGTTTTATTGCATTATGACATTTATTTATGGTCGTTCTCCCACTCGGACTGTGGCACGGAGTGCACGTGCAGGATAAATGGAATTGGGGGAATACCACTTGGTGGGTGTTAATGGCGTGCGAAGGAAGCCAGCCGGCCTCACCTATGGGTTTCATCTATAGTGTGTGGCTATCACTATCCCATCAGCTCCTGTTCCACACATCTACAAGAGTGGGCTTTGGGCTTCATGTTGTGCACTTCCGCTGGTCCCTGCGCCGGGTTCCCTGGCTGAGCCGCAGAGGTTTCCGGGCATATGTCACGTTTGTTTGCTTGCCAGCGGGAGAGGGAGCGGGTTGGGTGCTCCATCATTTGATTCTCCTTCGTGATCGAGAACCAAGACCCAAGCTTAAAAGTGCAGAAAAAATACACAGTAAAAACTAAAAGAGCTTAAAAGGAGTAATATGTATTAATAATTGTGTATAAATATATATATTTTTAATTTTCCGCATTATTAGAAATTATTGAGACTAGCTATAAGCTTATCCACTTTTAATAGATCACTTTTTCAATCAATTATTCAATTGCTTACTCTTTTCTGTATTTAACCCGGGAGCTCCAGTTGACAGATCTAGATTTCGCTCTTTGCGATTAGGTTACTCTTGAAAGAATTCAGTATAAATTGGTCTTAGATGTACTAAAACAACTTGCAAAGTTCGAATTTTCCTGCATTCGAGTGGAAGGATTGAAAATTCTCTTATTAGTGTATAGGCAGGAGGATCTATACCTTTTAATTCATTTATTTATACAGAGTTTTGTGATAAATCTTGTGTTTATTACTATGTATATTTTAATAAGTAGTACTCCGACTTAAGAACTAATTTAAGGTTTTTCTTTTCACTGCACCATGCATACCCGAAGCTGGCGTTTCGAATGCACCAGGTGTGATTCATGGCCCGCGGGTGTGATAAATTGCATGTTACAAATCAAAAGGGCAATAACAACATGGCTTTTGGAATGCGTCAGACTTGGTTTCACCTTCTTCCCCTTCACCCCCTTCTACTATACCATATAAAACTATATTTTTACCCATTTTCCCTCCGACAATCTCATAGCAAGTTTTATCGAGAACGCAAAACTTGCGTAATGCAATTAAAATACTTGTAAGCAAAACTGAACAGAGCTCTCCGCCCTTGACACAGTCCATTCACAATACTCGGCGGGGTAGCGGGTGGAAATGGGGGAGGGGAGGGGAGGAGTGGGGCCGGGGAGGGTCCAAGTCTGAGAGAAGCCCGTAATTGCCGCTCAGCTGCAAAACAATTTCAATTCATTCAAGCCGGGCTCGTAAACCTAATTAGTGATCACGATCAACAGAGAAGCGACGAGAGATGCAAAGTGTGAATGGCGAAAGAAAATTATAGTCTCAATTATAATTCAGTGTCAATGCAAAAAAAATAAGATCAAAGAGTGTTTGTCTGGCAACTAATTATATACCACGACACTTATAATTTTAGTAATTTCTCTCCAATAAAGTTTTTAAAATGAAATGAATGACCTTCGTATTTCTTATTAGAACTCCCTAGGTCTGTAGGCTGGAACCCCTTTAAAGATCGGTTATATCCCACTTCTTTCTAGTCCCCACACATTCCTCGGCGTATCGGGCATTCCAATCTCAGCCTGAAGCTTTACGAGTCCATTAAGGCTTCGAGATCCAGATTGTGACAGGCAACATACAGGCGCCTTCGTAAGCAAGTTATTTTTATTAAAGCCCATATACACATATAAAATTATAGCCATGTTTAAAATATGCAAACAAAAAAAGACAGAAAATAAAAAACAAAGATTGACTGGAGAAAACAACAAGACAAAGCTGCAGCAAGCTTGGAAATATTTTTTTGCATAAACAAGGTGCAAGATAAAAAATCAACAGAGTCTTGGCAGTCAGTTAGTCAGCCGGCAGTTGGCCTGGCTTGAACGCTGCAACGGCCAGCTTGGGTAAACTTGAAAACTGGAAAACGAGCGGCGGAAAACTGGTTTGTCAGACTCGCCAAACGCCCGAAATAAAATGGAAAGAAAAGGCAAAGGAAAGACGGGCCATAAGCCTAAACGCTGGCAATCAAATGCGGCCTGGCCATTCGGACAAAAGAGGTCAAAGTTGATCATGTGCCACAACTGGAAATTACTATCTAACAAAAGCACCTCTTAACGAGGCAAGACAAAGGTGACGATGGCACATTCAACTTTTCCAACCAACTTTGTAGCTAAAAAGAATAGTTGAAAAATGTATGAATTATTTAATTAGTTTCGTATTTTAAATTTGTTTCTTTACTAATACTTGCAACGCCTCAAATCGAATCGATTCTTGAAGGCAATTCTAGCTACTTTTTAATTTAACATTTCTTATAACTAGTAGAGTACCAGATGTAGTAGTGCCAACATGACTCTGGAATTGCTGATCTTCTTGGTGGTTCTTCTTACCATGGTTTATGGCCTCCTGCATAGAAATTACTCTTATTGGCAGCGTCTTGGAGTGCCTGAGATCAAGCCCAATTGGTTAGTGGGTAACCTGATGGCACTGTTCAAGCAGAAGAGTTTCTCGGAGTTCATATACCAGCTTTATAATCATCCAGACGCGGAAAACGAACCCTTTGTGGGCATATACGTATTCCATAAGCCTGCCCTGTTTCTCAAAGATCCAGAACTGCTAAAGAATGTCCTTGTCAGGGATTTTGGAAAATTTCGCGATCGTTACGCAAACGCCGATGAAATACGAGATCCTTTGGGCTCTCAAAACATCTTCTTCCTGAAGAACCCCGCTTGGAGGGAGGTGCGAATGAAGCTAACGCCGTTTTTCACTGGCAACAAGCTGAAGAACATGTTTCCGCTGATCGAGGAGGTGGGAGCTAGCTTAGGTGCCCATCTCCACCAGCAGCCGCTACAAGACGAGCACGGCTTTGACCTGGAGGTCAAGGAGTTGTGTGCCCTCTTTACCACGGATGTGATTTCCACCGTGGCTTTCGGAGTGCGGGCGAACAGTTTCAAGGATCCGAATGGAGAGTTCCGCCGGCATGGACGTTCTATATTCCAGTTTAGTCTTCTACGGCAGGTGGGGTTCACCTTAATCATGTTCCTGCCACACTTGGTTTCCTACTTCAGATTCAAAGTGATTCCCGCCGTGGACGCTCGATTCTTTCGTAATACTTTCAACTACGTGTTGGAGGAGCGCGAGAGATCTGGCCAGACGCGCAACGATCTCATCGATATCTTAATCGAATTTCGAAGGAGCACGCAGCAGGCGAAAGCTTCGGGTAACAAGAATCAGCTTGTGTTCGAAGGCGATATCTTGGTGGCCCAGGCAGGGTTTTTCTTCACAGCCGGCTTCGAATCCTCGTCTACCACAATGGCCTTGGCCATGTACGAGTTGGCTAGGGATGCGGATGTCCAGCAGCGATTGCGAGACGAAATCAAGGAGGCTCTGGAGGAAAGCAATGGCCAGGTGACGTTCCAAATGATCGAGTCGCTGGAGTACCTGCAGATGATCCTCTACGAGGTGCTGCGCATTTATCCGCCGCTAGCATTCATGGATCGCGAATGCAACTCCGACGAGGCCTACCCACTGGCTCCCTTCAGCAAGATGCGGGTTCCCAAGGGAATGCCCGTCTACATTCCCTGCTATGCCCTGCATTTGGATCCCAAGGTGAGTATAACTATTCTATCCCAAAATAAAATCTCATAACTTAAAACTGCCCCTTTTGCCAGTTTTTTGCTCAGCCAATGAAATTCCAGCCGGAACGATTCTCTGCTGAAAACCGAAAGAGCCACACTCCCTACTCCTACATGCCCTTTGGGGTGGGTCCGCGTGGATGCATCGGCGAACGCTTAGCATATCTCCAGGCGAAAGTGGGTCTGGTAAACGTATTCCGCAACCACCGGATAACCACATCGGAACACACACCGGATCGCCTACAACTGGACAACAAATCGATTTTATTGCAGGTCAAGGGAGGCATTCCCCTGCGCTTGATCCGAGATCCATTGGGTGTCTAACCCGGTTGGGGGTTAAGATCTTTGATTTTTCAATTAGTAGTTGTATTTACTCCCCTTTCACACACTCTCATTGGCCATCGTCGGCAACTGACAGAGCCAACTGGTGCCGGCTAATCCCATCGAGACACTCATAAATAGCCCGGCTTGACACTAATCAGACTCCGGAGTTTTGTTTTGCTCAGTTTGCTTGTTTACCCGAGCACTTAGCCGGAGACGGAGGATCCCCAGTCCAGATTCATGTATAAATAGCGATCGACAGACGGCGCTAAATGCAAACTCTGGCGCACAAACAGCATCTTTACTTCTCAGCCTCATCCTCAGATAAGGGAGAAAAATCACAATGTTTATTTTTGGATAGGCGCTGCACTTCACTTTATGATTTGCCAAGCAAACAATTTTCAGATTCAGTAATCTTCAAAGAAGCGATAAGGTTAAGGAAGTGTTTAGGAAAAGATCTTAACAGATTTATATTCCAATTTTTGTTTAATTATATTATATGCTTATATATTTCATTTCTCTTTTAAATATTTAAATTAAGAAATATATTCAAGGTACGTTCAAGGTACAAAATTAAAGCTTAATTAACTTTCACTTCTGAGAAATAAGAAGGTATAATTCTTATGTTTAATATAGTTTCTCTGATCACATGCAAGCCACACTTGAAACACGATCTATAATCTTTAAAATTATACCCCATTTGGTCTATTTGTGTGTTATTTATGGTAAGTACAACATGTATTGTCTTGCTTCGTGGGACTGTAGTATTTTTCTGCCACTTATTTGGCTGTAATGAAAGTTTGGGCTAATTTATGGGACATTACCATTTTCATTCTGATGTCACTCGCACGTGAATTCCAATGGGCCGCCCCCTCCGTCGTCTGTCATCATCCAAATGGCAATGGGCATTAAGTCAAATCAAATTGCCCAAAATAGACAGGGCGTGTTACCAGACATCGCTGGGGTATTTCGGTAGCTTCCCGTTTCCGAAATTTAATTGGAATTGAGGGAATCTGGAGGCGAACTTGGGCATCGCCGCCGTCAACTAAATTAGCGCCAAAGTAGGCATTAAAATTTTATGACGGACAAGTAAACAAAAACTCGCAGATGCATAAGGTGCCACTTGGCTGTAAGCCACCACCACCCCCTCTCCGTGTCTCTTCCAGTCCTCGGAATCTCCGCCTCCTGCTCCGATTTCTGGGTGTCGTTTAATGGGCAACTGCAACCGAAGGCGGAAAGCGCCGCCGGAAGATTTATGGGTGAATGTAAATCTCCAAACGTGTGCAACTTTGTTGGGGGGAGGAGCACCCAGCTAGTTCTCTGGAAACGGGCATACCATATATATTTTTGGGACTACGTTTATTATTGAAAATTCCCAGCTTTTGTTGCACAAATAAATAGAGGCCTTAGACTTGGCGTAAACAGAAACTCCCCTCGCGAGGCCATAAATTACTTGAACTCTTCTAATTAAAAGGAATCCTCGGTCGAGCCAGAGATTCATATATATTATCCGAAAGTATTATGAGTGGGCTTCGGTTACACATAAAGCCGCCGCCCCGAAAATGAGTTTCCTCTTAATTGATGGGAATATCGCTGAGCACGACTCCCTCATAAAAGTTTTGATTTGAATTGGATTTGAATTGCGTTGCTGGCAAATCTTTGAATTCAATAAGCGGCCATGTTTAGGTCTGTTAATAGACTTTGCTTCCCGGAGACGAAAGGCTGCTTACCCAGAAACTCCGAAATACTGATGCAGAGGGACTGGAGCGGGCCAGCTGTCAATCAGAGTGATCCCCGAGAGGGGCGAGGAATTTAATTGAATTTAGAAAATCGACTCACTCTGACAGCTCAATGACGTTTCGGCTGGCTTAGCAGATTTCATTATGAAGGCATGGGTAAAGGCGTGAAGCAAGATCGTCTCCTATACATATATGTATATGTTTTCTGGAAAGTGTGAAGATCTTCGTCTTAACTTGGATATTTTTGAAAAACTGATGTGACAAGCCTTAGGTACTTTTGAAGGACCCGCAGGACACATAAACTAGATAGAGCTCGAGATGTTAAAACATTTGTAATTTGATAAGACTGACGTTGTCTGTTTTGTCATTTACTATATGTTTTTGAAGTGTGCATAATGTGTGTGTGTCGTCTGAGGTCGGGCAGAGAATAGGTGCTTTATTTTGTCCGATTTTGGTGGGTTCCAGTCCTGAAAATCGGTGAGGAATTATGGCTTAACATTGTTGATATAGTTCGGAAAATGCTAAAAGAAAACTTGAAGATATGGTATTTGATGCCTGTTTCCTTGGATTAAATGAAAATGTTTTCTGTTCCGTATCAAATCCCATCGTAACTGTTATTTCTAACCAAAACATACTTCTCCAGCATTCCATTACCTGACGACTATCAATCCAGTGGCCACTGAAATAGCAGCTGCTCCTTGATTTGCCCCTCGGCTCGACTCCAATGGGGTGGGAAATCGACACTGGACTCTGCTGGGGTGAGCCGAGTGCAGCAAATAAATAATACATTTTTAAAAATCTGCTCGGCAACAAATGAGACCCAAGCGAAACATAATGCAGTTGGCAAAATGTGTGTGTGCAGGCAGCTGTGCCAACTGCGAAAACTGTCAAGCCAGCAAAGGCGAGCGGTGTTATTGTTGTTAATTATGCGCCACAAAGGCAACATCAACAAACAGCACAATGGACGGCTGTTTTCGACCCTCGAAATACTCTTTAACATCAAAGACACAGACACACAGACCCTCTGGATGCCATTGATTTAAGTGGCAATCAGAGACTAGTTGTTGGGCTTAGATTAAACTGGGTATGTTCGGTTAGTAAAGTATAGATTAAATGAAAAACTATTACACTTACATTTAAAAATATCGAAAAACGTCTACAGTCAAGCGGATCTTATTCTTATTAAGGGGCAAATCATATTTGTAAAGATATCATCGTAATGTTAGCAAATCATATTTAAAATAAGGTTGATGTTAACCTGGCTCTCATTTCGTGTCATTAATTTGGTCTGTTTTGCCGTAAATTTAACCACATTCAACCTCTTCCCTGAAAAGTTAATATCCTTTGGAAGAGTAAACACAACAACGAGGGATGGCAGCGGAGCAGAGAGCTGAAGCATAGCCTCTGGCTGAGTCCAGACAGAAATCGGAGCAAGGAAATGAGGTCGCGCCTGCGCCGAGTGACTCCGGAGGAGGCCCGAGCTGAGGGAAATCGCTTCAGTTTAGTTTACATTCGGCCTGGGCACGTGATCGGCGCAATGGCAGCTAATTGCTGTGTCTCAATTTTCAACTCTCGGCCCAAAGTGCTTTTGGGCTTGGTCGTCGTGACTCATTTGCAGGCTCAACCTCGAGTAAAGTCGGGGAATGAAGTGGACTCGAGCCGAACGGACCTGGCATATGCTGCCTGTCGACCACGTTTGACCCTCGGCCCGGGCTTAGACTTTGAGCTCACGGGGATGTCGGGGGTTCAGTGGTTCAGCCGAGGTCTGAGGGAGGTCCGATTTCGGTCATAGTCCGAGCGTTTGCACAAATGGTTCTGTGTCATTGAAGGGGATATTAACAATTTGGCAGACATTTTGGACATGTGAGGAATTTATAGAAATAGCTGGGAAGCCATAAAATATAATAATAATAATAATATCTAATTTAATTCCAAATTATAACTATAAAGTGTTATATTATCATTATTACTATTATATTACTTGTACTACATATAATATTTATATTTTTGAATTTAAATACTTTCTCATTTCTAAAACCTGGTTTCGAGTTCTCAGATGATTATTTATAGCTATAGGTTCAAGTCGGGAATATTAATAAGTACTGTCGCCAGACAACTCAAAAGCTAGGGTGTGACATGCTTCGATCCCTGAATTTTACCCCTTCTTTTATTCGAATTTAACCGTCAGCGCATTTTTGTTTCTATACTTTTTTGCTTTTTAGCTGGCTGCGCATTCTATTGTCGTTTGGCTCGATGGTGTTTATGTGCTAGGTAGTACTAGGAAAGCTGCCTTCTGGTGGGGCGGAGGTTGGGCCGAAGTTGAACGAACCGAGGGCAACGAGTTGTAGAACTGTGGGTGCAGTGGCTTCAACATAAATACACCATCCCAGGGAACTACACCTTTTCTCCAATGCAACTCTGAAGAATGGAGCTTTTATCGCCGTTCTGTGTGCTCAGATAAAAAAGTGCTGGAGATAAGATATGATTTTGTGTTTATATAAAACCACTCGCTTGTCCGTCATGAAAATTAAATATTATTTTAGATTTATTTTTAGAAATGCTGTCAGCAGAAGTCAGGGGAGAAATAATAACTCTCTACGATGCTGCCCACCTGCAATCGATAGGAAATCAGTGGGATCCGGATAAATGTTAATCAATGGCCGTGTGAAAACAGACAAAGAAACGTCTTATATGGTGGGAAGACTCCGAGACCAAGTCAAGACTCAGCTCAAGACGTCTCGTCTTCATTTGCATTTCTCTAAAATTATTCTCTTCGCTCGGAGCCGACATAATGAACTAATTTCTTAATTATTCACGGGAAGTTTCGACAGGTAACCCGGCACGATAATGCGCTGGAAGACAGACACGAAGAAAAGTTGGCCAAGCAATTTTTGCAAGCTTCTGTTTAAGTTGTGTAATTTGCTTGAAAATGATTCAGCAAAACGTTTTCAACGCTTTCCAAACCGCCAGTGCAGAGATCAAATTTCCCAAATGGCGTTAACAATTAACGATGTTCAGGAAAGAAATGGGAAACTCGAGCGCACTCCGGGCGTTGTGAAAATGCCTCTCTATTGGGTGGGCAGAGAGAGAGAGAGAGGGTTACACTCCGCCATGGCAACAGAGCACAGCACAGGTGCAGCGAGAGATAAACAGCAAAGCGGATGACACCTGTTCCCCCTTCAGCAGAGCGTTGTTTATCACAATAATGACGGGGCTGCGCTCGGAGTAACCCCGACTTGGGTTGACTTTGGCCCGAAAAGTGGATTGTGAAAAATATAATTTGTTGGCAACTTGCAAGTGCATTCGACTGTGTAAAGCGGAGTTCTCTGAGGATGAGGCTGCCGCCAGGGGTTAGCTACGCTCCGCTCCGCTGACTTTGCCGGGCTTGGGAAAGTGGCAATGAGCCACCGCACCACCACCACACCAGCGCTCCGTAGGAGGAAGTCGCGTAATTGACCTTTTTCGGCTATATTTCTACATGCCACAAAACTAGTTGCCTGTCAATGGCGCTGGCACGCCCACACGTACTTGCCGCGTACAGTTCAACAGTGGAATTATGGTAATTTCTCTTAGTGTCTCTCTACCCGATTTGCATAACAAAAAGTCCAACAAGTACTCGGACTCTGTTCTAATAAAATGTGATACTATTCCCCTTTGCTGGCCAGACGCAACCAAACTAATTACAACCATATGGGGGCACCTTTTGGCTAAAGTAAACACAAACGTTTGCTGGGAACTCAAAAAATGTTCT